ATTAAAAAATCACAAACAGCTGTAAAATAAAAAGCAATTCTAAGTGATTATAGAAACAAGAAATTAAAACAGTAGTAAAAGAAAAAAAAACAATTCCATATAATTATAAAAAAACAACAAACGGTAAAATAAAAAGCAATTTGGATGGAATGGAATTGTTCTTCGTTTTACTACTGTTTTTACTTTTTGTTTTTCGTTGTCACTTAAAATTGCTTTTTATTCTACTACTACTACTTATTCTACTTTTTTGTTTTTATAATTATTACATGTAATTGTTTTTTTTGTTTCTCTACTGATATTATTTTTTGTTATCACTTAGAATTGATTTTGATTTTACTGTTTGTTATTTTTTTTTTAATTACATGGAATTTTTTGTTTGTTTTACTAGTTTTGATTTCTTATTTTTCATAATTACTTAAAATTTATTATTTTTTAGCTTGCTACTGTTATTTTTTCTTTTATGTTTATTAGGAACCGCTTTTACTTTTGCTACTGTTGTTTGCTCCAGTTTTTCGTTTTTGTGTTTCATTAATTAACTGTGTACGAGTATATAAAGTTTCCACTTTTCATATTTTTCCATAAATGCGGAGAGCAACCCGGCAACACCGCGGACAAGCGCGTCTCATAAATATGACATATGCACAGACGTCAACGTCATATGGCAGATGGTAGCAGTGTTGCCATACGTAGCGGAATTCCGCTATTTGTAGCGGATTATTTTGAGAAGAACGGCGTAGCGGCGAAAGAGCAAATTAGCCCAAAATGTAGCGGAATTTATTACATACAAAACTATCATATTTATTTCACTGTTTTAACGTTAATAACGTTCTAAATCCTAAAAAGGCAGTGGCTAGAGTCTGATTTATTATCACATTAATAATAAAATTGGTGCATTTGGTGCCGCTTGAGCCATCTAGGAACAGAGAAGAGAATTATTCCACTTGCCTTTTTTTTCAATAACAGATGGCGTACGTACTGCTTTCAATACTAATCGTTTCTAACAGGTCTCAGCAGGCAGACATAATATTAGGTTTCTTGCTTTGTATTGTATTTTTCAGCTCTGGGTATATACTGTTTAGTTTCGTTTATATTAGTGTTCTTATTTTTGTGTTGATCATTTTATTGATATATCATTTGCTGCAGCTTTTAATATTAAATCTATTGGTAAGTAAAATAACTGCTTAAATATCTATCATATTATAGTTTGATCCAGAAATAAATCTTAGTCGCGAAATTTGTTTTTAACGATTTTTCTTCTGGAAAATAGGAATAATGGAAAGGCGACAGCAGACCATTAACGATTTTTTTGATAAAAATCCTTCTAAAAAACAAACGGTGAAACCAAACGTGGCCGTACCATCCACTTCGACTGCATCTGTGTCGGACTCGGAGCATCCCGAACCTGAATACAGACAAAATAGAAGAGCGGAATCTAGTGGAATCAGGTCTGAGCCTGATAATTCGACTTGCGAATCTCAGGATAACCAAGAGCCAGAGCAACCTGTTAAGAAAAAGACACGAAAACAAATGTTTAACATACTTCATCATGGCTAGAAGATCCGTTATTTAAAGGCTGGTTGGGACCTATTGAAAATGACAAGTTGAAAGCAAAATGTAAAGCTTGTAATCAAATAATGGGTGCTAAAAAATCAGATTTAGTGAATCATTCGAAATCAAAAAGGCATGCCACTAATGTACAAGCAATTTCGAATGTAAGAACGTTAGATAGCACTTTTCAGTCTCGGGAAGCACGTGAGTTGGAAAAACGGCAAATATTTGCTTGCTTAAGATATATTCTTTTAGTTGTAAGTCATTATATAAGTTTTAGAACTGTTGATCATATAACAGGAGTTAGTCAATTATGTTTTAAAGACCCAGATCTCTCTAGCTCACTTAAATTAAAAAGATCCAAATGCATACCATTTTCCATTTTATTGGATGAGAGTACAGACCTGAGCAATACAAGACTACTATGCATTCTTGTAAGGTATATTCATAAAAATTCAATTAAAACCCATTTATTAGATATAATTAAAATAAACGCAGATGAAGGTACCGCCAAAGGTTTATATTCTCTTTTTAAAAAATGCGTTATATCCAATCAAGTAAAAATTACCAATATTGTTGGATACTGTTCCGACAACGCTAGTGTTATGATGGCCAATAACGAATCTTTCAAAACTTATCTTTTAAAAGATAATCCTAATATAATTGTCAATGGCTGCATTTGCCACTCTGCTCATTTAGTGGCGGTGGCGGCAGTGCGTTCTTGAAGAATTACAGGAATATTTCAAATAGTCAAAATTAAAAATTTTGGGACATCTTGCTTAGCCTATTTAGATTAGCTTCCATTGAAGACAAATGTAGCAAATGTAATACTTAATGAGTTACGGAATCCATTTGTTAAGGCGTATTTAATGTTTCTTGAATTCGTGTTGCCCATTTTTAACCAATTTAAGGCTCTCTTTCAATCAGAGAAAGTTATACTCAATATCATATCAATAGAGAGTGAGCGATTTGTACGTCATCTATGTACAAACTTTATGCGACCAGAATATTTTAAAAATGAGAAATTATATAATCTAAATCCTAATGATCCCCACTGCTTATTGCCAATTGAACAAGTGAATGTTGGTCCGCATACAATGGATGCAATAAAACACTGCAATAACACTGCAATCGAACAATTTAAATTAAAATGTGTCACATTTTACCAAAAATCGGTAGAAGAGTCCCTTAAAAGATTTCCTATCAAAGACAACTTCTTTTCAGAGCTAAAGTTTCTCTCACCGGTTGATGTGATGAACAATCGTCTTATTATAAGTGATACCTTTCATGACGCCGTTTTAAAAAAATTTGCCCTTCATATTGAAACCGAAAAGGCAATTTTGGAACTAAAGAAAAAATGTATTTATTTTAGTGATAGTGAGAAAGAGGAAATTTTAAAAACAAAAAGTAATGTCATTGAATTTTGGTCGTTTGTAAACGACCTCAAAATTTTTAATGACGAATATTTATTTCGCAATATAGGTAAACTGGCTCTAATCATTTAAACATTGCCTCATGGAAACGTTGATGTTGAGCGAACTTTTTTTTATATGCTTGATTACAAAACAAAAAAAAGAAATATAATAATACCATCAACTTCTACTACTTCTACTTACAATTAAATTAGACTTGGAATCAAAAAAACAGTGCTGTTTATCCTACAGTTTTAATGAGAATCATTTAAACAAATATAAAAAGAATTTATATAATGTAAATAAGGAAGAACAAGCTGAAGAAGAAGTAATTTCTGATTCTGACTGTGAATAAAATAAGCTAACGTAGGCATTTCCACGTATCCGCTTCTTCTTTGTCCTTATTTTTTGTTTTGTTTTTCTATTAAGATTAAGATATTGGTGATAGTTTATATTTTTTTATTAGTTCCTAATTCTAAACCAAAGACAGTTTTGTTTTTTTAGAGGTATACTTTTTATGTTTTTACGAAAAATTGCAATTATATTATGTTACTGTTTGTATTTTTAGTAGGGTTTTTAGACAGTGTTTAAAAAAAGTAAATATGTAAAAAATATATTTGTTGTTTATTTTAAGCCTCCCTCCCCCCTCCTTAAATTTTTAGACCGTAGCGGCATGTAGCGGAATTTTGCGATACGTGTGACCGATATTTTAAACTTCGCTCTGGCAACACTGGATGGTAGAAATAATGGGGGAAATAACTGCTACAAATACAGTGTTTTGAGAAAAAGATCATCAAAATCGTGCTTCATCACAGCTTTTTTGATTTAAAATAATCTATCAGACTACCCTCTATAAGCTTCAAGTGAAAAAACAGTAAAATCAAGACGCAACAGTACCAAAATGAGTATAAATAAAATAAATCAGCACTTACCATTTTCCCGCCATTTCAGTATCGCGGAATCCGCGAAATCTTTCTTCATTCTTCCCGTAATCCAAATATGCGAATCACTACAGACACTCACAAGCACTTATTCCACATGACACTAGCACATTTTTCTAGGTACGACAGAGTTTTCCCTCTTAAAACACAGAAACTAGCGCTGCCGGAGAACCCGTGTGAAAAGTCCGCGGTATTCCTCCATTCTACCCGTAATCAAAGGTGCAAAGCACTACAAAAACTGACAAACCCTACTTAATCTACATACCACGCACACACTTTGCTGGGTACGGCCGAATTTTCCCGTGGAAATCACTGAAAATGACGCTCCCGAAAAGCCCGTGTAAGAGGCCCGCGAAGACTAAAACAATTGCAACAATTGCATACCAGACGCCAGACGTTTTTCTAGGATTTGAGGCGGGCGGACCGCAGAACACAGTTCTGAGAATTCTTCCACACCTGTTTTTATTAGCAAAGGTAATTTCGTTGTGGCTGATATCAGAGGTACCTACTGCAATTACATGCACAAATATAGATAAATCATATTGTGATATTCTTCTTTTGTAAAATATTTTGTTTCAATTTCTAAATAACAGATTAACTATATATCAATTAAATAAGTGTCACTCTAAAACGGAATAATGAATTTCTGTCTGACAAAGTAGGCTGACTGCATCTTACTTGAAGTTGGATAAATTTTGTTGCTTGTTGGTTTTCGTCGAATTCTGTTATAGTCCAGTCATTATTGGTAGCGGTATCGATCGAAATGCTGAACCTGCGCTCGAATCAGATTTTTTTTAGTAGTAAATATAGTTCTTTTAGGTATTGAATAATGAATAATTTTTGATAGCCCTAAAAACAGGATTACAAGTTTATATTGCCTCTAATTTATGGGACACCCTCTACAGCTAAAAATAGCGCTTAGCTGGGCCTACTACTTCTATATTTGACTTTTTTCTGCAACTTTAATAGTAACGAAGATATTGAACTTTGTCACACTATATTGAAATAAAGAATGTAGTCTTGTTTTTCATGCTCAAAAACACCCTAATCTACCTAATGACTGCTGTATTTTTGTACGTCAAATTTTATTATGTTACAGATACATGCCATTTCCAGAAACTGAATGAAGATAGTTCGCCATCCACTAATTACGATTTCCATTGGAATTCAGTACCATGTGATATAGGTGAGTATTCAAGGTATAAAAACGGTTTCCTGTATACTTCTGCGTACCTTAAAATAACGGTGTCTTTATTTTACTCCTACTTGGTACAGCGTTCTCGGTTTCCGCAGTACCATTGGAAGAAAGTGTGAATCCAAATAAATTCAAAACATGTATTTTTCGCTGAAATTTTCGAATTCAAGATACAGTTGTGGCCTTTTTCACTCATTTTTCATTGATGGTATGTTTCTCCATCATCTGTAGAGTTTATCGCAGTTTTGGCTGCTTTTATTTGTTGTCAGGTTCGCTAGAACCTCACCTTCTTTGAAATTCCCGAAACCCCTGAACGTTTTCAAAATCTGTATTTGATGGTAATGAAATTGCGGGAGGAAGTTTTAAGAGTAGAAAAAAATTTTTATTGAATATTTTGTCAACAATTTCCATTTCCTTCTAACGCTCCAGAACCCGGAGCGAAGCCATTTACCTGATAAAGTATATGGATCACAAAGATTGATCTCTACAGCCTATTTCACAAGTATCACGGAAGAATGACAGCTGGTTATCTAGTGATATTTAAGAACTCCCCATATCGGCAGCTCTTTTATTTAGAAAACATCATTTTCATACAAAAAACAAATTTTTGCTAGATTTACACACGATTCGTTATAGCCAACGTTGCAGACTAACACAAAAATATACTAAGTGACATATAAATCCGAACACCCAGTTTAAATGGTTTTATTTTAATAAAAGTTGGTGAATGTATTTATCTTACTGTAAATAACAAGTGAAAAAATTTTCAGCCTTATCAGTTGGACATTCCGGTTTTTATACTGCTTTTTTTTAATTCACTAACGCTCTAAAAATGAATATTTCAGCCGCAGTAAAGAATCAACGTTGGCGGATTTTGGTTCTTGACATCCTTTACGATCGGTTACGATGCCAAGAGTACGGAGACCTGTACGATTTCGTCAACTTAGTGAGTTTGATAGGGGCCGTATAGTGAGACTTCGGGAAGCTGGACTTTCTTTTCGAACAATTGCAGTTAGAGTGCCAAGAAGTGTAGACACTGTGGTTAGATGTTGTCAGGCATGGCATCGAGAAGGCCGTACGCAAAGAGCAAGGGGCACTGAACGCCGCCATAGAACAACAGACCGTGAAGATCGCCGCCTAAGATTATTGGCCTTAAGGGATCGTTTCTCCACTACCAGGTCCATTGCAAATGAATGGTTTGCAGAACACGGAAGAACTATTGGCATGCGAAGTGTTTACCGACGAATGAGAAGTTTTGGCTTGTTTTCATACCGGCCACACTGGGTCCTCCCTTTAACTCGAGAACACCGACGTAATCGCCTTGAGTGGTGCAGACAACGGTCACTCTGGGATCAGGAATGGAACAGTATTGTCTTTAGTGACGAGTCTCGATTTTGTTTAGGCATGCACGATGGTCGTGCCAGGGTTAGAAGGCGACGTGGTGAAAGGAGGAATCCACAGTTTTTTGTTGAAAGACATATTTATCACACTGTTGGAGTTATGGTTTGGGGTGCTATAGCTTATGGCAGATCCAACTTTCCAACAAGATAATGCCCGACCACATGTTGCAAGAGTCACAATAGGCTTCTTTCAACATATTGATGTCACATTGTTACCATGGCCACCAAGATCTCCCGACTTATCCCCAATTGAGCACGTGTGGGATATGATGGGTAGGAGATTGCTCAATTTGCAACGTCCTCCTCAGACTCTAGAAGCACTTCGAGAGGACTTGGTGGTTGCCTGGAATGAGATACCACAGGAGGACATTGACCACCTGATCAGAAGCATGCCTAGGCGCGTTGGAGACTGCGTAGCACATCAGGGTGCATCCACACATTATTAAAGGTCAAAGGGCTTTAAAGTAGTGCAATCATTTTGAAATTTTTATCATTTACTTATTATGCTTCATTAAGTACTTATACAAAATTTTATTAAAATAAAACCATTTAAACTGGGTGTTTGGATTTATATGTCACTTAGTATATCACTTGCTGATCACATCAGTAGACCTCAAAGGGTCATGAATACTCGTAAAATAAGGTAGGCTCTGCCCCTAACCCCCTTGCAATAAACCTACGTTTATGGAAATAACACAGCGCAGCGACAGCTGTCACCAGAATTGACCACTGCGAAGCTGCCATTTTTGTTGGAACTGTTCAGATCCCAGTCCGCGTTTAATAGCCCAGTCAGCATGTGACCGATAGATGGCTGACGGTTCTGGCTGTAGAGTAGATGTGCTCTACTTGCCATTGAATAATAAATAATAATAATAATAAATGGGCTTTATTTCGTACCTAAGTAAAAGTACAAAAAAGGCGAAGTGTCGCTAAGTTTAGCGTTTTTCAACTTAACCTTAAACTAATAATGAAATAAAATAAACATGAAGCTTTGGTCCGACCGACCAACAGAGAACCAACCATGAACAACTGTTTCGTGCTTCTTAAATACTCTTCAGCATGGCCTAGGCCTGGCCGCTTGTTTCTGGAACAACTAACGAAAGCATCCTATATGAACGGTCTAACCAAATAAAACGGAGGAAAGCCCCATTTCTGCTAAACGAGGTCCATTTCAGTAAATTCCAAACGGTTAATTTGACAGCTGTCAAAATGTGACATTATTCCGACATTTTTTTAAGGCGTGTATGACATGTCTCCATCGTCTTTGGTTTTCCCGCAACCTGCCGCAACTTTCATTTTTCTTAAGGCCGCCATATTGGATTTTGTAGTTTTTGAAAAGAGCGTAAAATTTCCAACCTAGTGATGTCCACAAGTCCATAAAAGATCGGAATATCACCGAAATATCACACGTTTTGTTATGTACTAGTTTTTTCTAAGAAGACCATGGTTTATTTGTCAGAAAATAAAATTAATAAGAAACGCATTTTTTTCATCTAAGGTGGCTCTGACTTTGACGTTAAATAATCCAGAGTGTTGAAATATACTAAGTGACATATAAGTCCGAACACCCAGTTTAAATGGTTTTATTTTAATAAAAGTTGGTGAATGTATTTATCTTACTGTAAATAACAAGTGAAAAAATTTTCAGCCTATCAGTTGGACATTCCGGTTTTTATACTGCTTTTTTAATTCACTAACGCTCTAAAAATGAATACCGCAGTAAAGAATCAACGTTGATGGATTTTGGTTCTTGACATCCTTTACGATCGGTTACGATGCCTAGAGTATGGAGACCTGAACGATTTCGTCAACTTAGTGAGTTTGATAGGGGCCGTATAGTGGGACTTCGGGAAGCTGGACTTTCTTTTCGGGCAATTGCAGTTAGAGTGCAAAGAAGTTTAGACACTGTGGTTAGGTGTTGTCAGGTATGGCTTCGAGAAGGCCGTACGCAAAGAGCAAGGGGCACTGGACGCCGCCGTAGAACAACAGACCGTGAAGATCGCCGCCTAAGATTATTGGCCTTAAGGGACCGTTTCTCCACTACCAGGTTCATTGCAAATGAATGGTTTGTAGAACACGGAAGACCTATTGGCATGCGAAGTGTTTACCGACGAATGAGAAGTTTTGGCTTATTTTCATGCCGGCCACACTGGGTCCTCCCTTTAACTCGAGAATACCGACGTAATCGCCTTGAGTGGTGCAGACAACGGTCACTCTGGGATCAGGAATGGAATAGTATTGTCTTTAGTGACGAGTCTCGATTTTGTTTAGGCATGCACGATGGTCGTTCCAGGGTTAGAAGGCGACATGGTAAAAGGAGGAATCCACAGTTTTTTGTTGAAAGACATGTCCATCACACTGTTGGAGTTATGGTTTGGGGTGCTATAGCTTATGGTTCCAGGTCACCTTTAATCTTCATCAGAGGTAACATGAACGTGCAGCGTTATATCCACGCAGTTCTAGAACCCCATCTTTTACCCTATCTTGACACCCTGGCAGATCCAACTTTCCAAGAAGATAATGCCCGACCACATGTTGCAAGAATCACAATAAACTTCTTTCAACATAATGATGTCACATTGTTACCATGGCCACCAAGATCTCCCGACTTATCCCCAATTGAGCACGTGTGGGATATGATGGGCAGGAGATTGCTCAATTTGCAACGTCCTCCTCAGACTCTAGAAGCACTTCGAGAGGAGTTGGTGGTTGCCTGGAATGAGATACCATAGGAGGACATTGACCACCTGATCAGAAGTATGACTAGGCGCGTTGGAGAATGCGTAGCACATCTGGATGCATCCACACATTATTAAAGGTCAAAGGGCTTTAAAGTAGTGCAATCATTTTGAAATTTTTATCATTTATTTATTATGCTTCATTAAGTACTTATACAAAATTTTATTAAAATAAAACCATTTAAACTGGGTGTTCTGATTTATATGTCACTTAGTATAAATTGTGCTTAATAAGAAGTAGGTACGTTTACTCTCTTTAAAATCATAGATAAATCTGACAAAAAAAAACTTAGCACACAAGGCTATACTTCATGAAGCGCCACTAAATGCAACTGTAGGCAACCAGTCCAATAATAATTAAAGTGGTCAAGGGCGAAGTATAGGAATCAACGCTTGTAAATATCAAAATACAAATTGAACTAATTTGTCTTTCACTTTTCAGTGTGCGCATTCCCATACGTCATAGCTTTCACCTCAAACTCGATGGAAATTCGGCTCATAGTGAACGGCAACCTGATTCACACTATGACGATGCCGAAGCTGCAGCTAATCGCATCGAAGAACGACATTTTCTTCTGTACGACAGCACCGGAGTTCTTTCCAAACAAGACGGATCGGTTGTTGATGGTTGAAGTCAGACAGCAGGAGCTGCAGAAGCATTCACCTCCTTCCAGCCCAAATGGTAACTGATAATAATACAAAGTCTTTATTTTCAGCTGGTGGACAATCAGCAAGTGCTGTTGTTCCATGCCAGCCAGGACTGCATGTAAACAGTGTTCAAAAGAGTATATATTTTATCACAGTATTGTCAATAAAAAAAAGAAAGAAAGGAGAGAACAAATTGTTAATACATACATAGATAAAACACAAAAGTAACAAACAAAACACTTGCATCAAACAAAATCAGAGGCTAGTATCAGATCTTTGATTCCAGATTTGAATGGTGGGTATTTTTTTAATGAAAACAATTTTGTACTGGAGCCAGACCTTTGTGAATGTAAATTCACATTTATTCAAATTCATGCGAGTAGAAACAGTAGTCACCAAACATATATGTATTTAAACATTTGTCAAGAAGAACGTTGAACCAGTTATTAACTGTCATTTTGTTTTTTTTTTGTCTATCAACAAATTCTTCAAGTTTTCAAAAAAGTCTAAAGTCGTATAGTACTAAGTCAGAAACTTGTCCATTTGCGTCCGAGTTCTCATCAGGAATCTAATATGCTAATCACCGATATTGCCGTCGGTTCCAGACGGCCATATTTTCCTAATTTAATTATCTACTAAATTCGTTTATTAACAATTTCCAGCGTCTCCCGACATCCGACCTTTACGCATCTACCGAATCCCCCTACACGCCCTGAGTCGTCCTGCTGCAGCAACCCACCACCACCCTTCAGCAACCGCATCGCCAGCGACCCCCGCCTGGCGTTCGGCCGACTCGAAGTTGGCGCCGCCCCCGGTTGTCACGGGAGGAGCCACGACCAATGGCGGCAGTACTTCCCCCACTCCCGATGCGTCGACGCCACACCACCACCACTCACATGTCAGGGTGTCGAGAAGCGCCACTAGCTCACCTATACCGCCCAATAAAGCGAAAGCTCCGCCCAATGCTAAGTAGAGCGTGTAAAAAGGAGACGGAGCCTCATGGGCGGATGGGAAACAAGATTATGAATATAAATAGTTGTGCAATGAGTTGGATATGAAGAAGAGAATCAGTTTTTGAAGTTGATGGAGGTATATGCATTCGAAAATATGTAAATTGGGGATGTGAGTTGTGTGCACCTTTGTGCGATATATCTTATTTTTTCAAATGTACCATTTACATCTATTTGGTTTCTAAGCAATTTGTTTTGTTGAGAAGCAATAAGATATTCTTCCTCACGTAAAGTCAGTGGTGATTGAAAATTCTAGACAGCAAAACGAAAATACTGCAGTTCTTCCTTCAATAAAATTTAACGGGTCCGATCTATATCTCAAATGATTTTTGCAGTTAACACATTCCATAAAGTTTTCTAGCATCAACAGCCTATACCGTTCCCAGACGGGCTTTTGTCTAAAAGAGTAAGATCCTTTTCTGAAAAGGTAGTATGAACATATATTTTATTTCAGTTGAGGTGCTGTTTCTTAAACGGAGCTACAATTCTTTGTTATCGTAAGCTTCACAGAATTTTACTAAGAGATTCAGCAGCGCCATCTATTACACGGTAGCTTATACTTAGAGTTTTTAGAGTAAAATCACCTCCAATGAGAGTTAAACATTCTATGATGAGATTCTTAGTTTTCAATAAACAGCGTGCGGTACTTTGCATAGTTTGTTCTTAATCCAATCCAGAAGAAGTCAATCGCCAGATGCATCGCTGTGAAATAAAATACATCTTACATTACAGGTGGTCAGTTTTTGGAAATGAGGGAATAGAACAACTCTAGTCGTTTTGGAGAACTGTATTCTTTAACATTGATAGGAGATTCGCTCTCCGTGTCTATCTCGAAACAAAAAGTAACCTTATCTCTTGAGACGAAGTTATCATTGAGATCAAACATTTGGTAATATGAAAATCTTAGGAACATACTATTTTGCCGAAAATTGATGTATCTATTCGCAAACATGCCTGAAACGTAAACGTCAAAACAGACGTCGAAAGCTGCCAGAAAAGTTAATAGAACACTTTCTGCTATTTATTCTATTTCCTGGTTTTCAAAAATTGACATCCTGCAATGCGTATGAGGCCTTCTTTATACTGAATGTAGTCTAGCAGCCATCGCTGCGTTGTACAAGGGAATTGATTAGCGTATTTCCAACTGCATATAGTCATGGGGCCCAAAAAGGGATCTGAATGATCTTAGTAGGGGAAGTGTTCCGAGATTCTAGCTCTTAAAAGAATTAATTATCTACCTACACTTCAATCACTACAGTTACCTGAATATTTCAACAGAAATAGTTCTAGAATTTTATCAAGCACCAAACCAGCCAGCAAAATACCTCATTCCAGTTAAATCCCAATTAATTCCAAAACTAAAAAAAAAGGCAGAAATTGAGATGATCAGGCTGTTGGAATAATGAAGATAAACAGCCAAATTACAAAGGGACATTGGAGATATAAAAATAAAAATTGAAGAATACTATTTTACTAGCTGGTAAAGGGAGATTACTATATTGACTAGAAAATTAAAATTCCAGGGTAAAAGAAAACATGACAATTGTTCAAAACATCGAGAAAAAATAAAGAATTATGGAAAGTCTATACAGGTTAAAGAGATAGATGATATCGAAGAGTAAAAACTGTATCTTCAACATAAATAAAATGAACGGAAAGTAAAAAATATGTGGGAGATAATATGATGTGATCAGATGTAAGAAAAAACAAAGTTGAGCTGTTTATAGTTAAATCAAAAAACAAGAACAAAAGTATTCAAACACAAAATGTTCTAATGCAGAAATTGGGATAACTATTGATAAAACAACAAGCAAGACACGGATGTTTAGTCTTTCACGTATAAGACCCAAAATCATTAAAAAAATTGATGCGGAACTAACGTTAGGGGTACAGTATGAAATTCAAATTGACAGTACAATTGAATCGAAAATAAAAACAATGTAAGCGAGCCTGAATTGAACGATGAAGAATAATTTGTATCTAAATTTCAAAAGCAAAATATCCCTGGAGAAATAAGATGTAGTGAAGTGAAAGTACTTCATGAATACAAGAGTAGTAAAAGTATGAGCCAAGCATGTACTGTGATAATAAAGCTGTTGCGTAAAGAAAATGAGTAGTTGCTAGCTAAAAGACAGTCTATATATTTGGTATAGAATAGTCATAAATTTCAAGTTTTAGTGTTCTTTGATATCACAAATGTTGGCGATTCGGACATCAGGCTGAGAAGTGCAATTCCAAGCTACTTAAATCAATCAAAGAAAGAACATTTTATGAAGACCAGCAGAAAAATCTCATTTTGTCGAAGTATTCAGGAATTAAGGTCATTATTATTTTTGATCCAAGTGGTATGTAGGAGTAATAATATTGTTGTTTTTGGCTGAATAAACACTCATTCTATTTCTATCTATGAGACAGCAAAAGACGAAAATGAATTTAGTTTATTATATTTTGGCGCCTCTCCAATGCCTATTTTAATTGGTATCTTCAGGTTAATCAATGTATGGTTGACTAAGTCTCCAGGTGGAATACATTAATCAATGGCAAGACACTTTACACTCGGGACGTTGGTTCGTATTCCCTGAATCCGAAGCTTCAGAATGAAGATCTGCCATTTTCGTTCATTTCATTTTTAATAAATCAATCATTCGGGTACATCAATTGCATTATAAGTTAATGTTTCACTAGCATTTTCTCATTCTGCCAGTTTTCTTTCTATATCATTGTCCAAATCACTGGTTTTATGAGAGAAATATGAATAATGAGGATCAAAACTTATGCTGGAGACGTTCAGTGAACTTTCGAGGATCTGATATCACGAATGATGCAAGAACGCTCTCAAAAATAAAGGTTTAAAATATGTATGTTGAATATTTTCATCAGTATAGTTAGCGAGTTTAGTCAAACACTATTTTGTAACACTACGACCACCATTCGCGAAAACACATTTTTGAGACATTTGGTGCCCAACAAAAAAAATCCAACCACTCCTACCACCATTTTATGATGCTTCCTTTAATACATATAAAACATGTATATCTAGTATAACCGAATGTCACAAATTTCTCAAATCAAATTTTCAAAAATCAACCGATTCAAATCAAACATCATCAAACTTGGAAGTCTGTTATTCCTTGACATTCTTGCAGCTAAAATGTCGTTACTATAACTCCATACTAGGAAGAGATTTTCAAGTGTTGTATTTATGTAAAATGCTAGCTTGGTTGATCTCATCCGAAACATTCAATACTCAAATTCCGACTCATTCTTTGAAACAGCTGATTGTGAAGTTTATGCAAATAATATTCAGAACTGTAAGATGCTTATCGAAGATTTCGTACCAGCTTTTAGAGGTGTTAAAATTTGTTATTAGCTTGAATAGGGGAGACCGGGGCTACTTGTCACAATTTTCAGTAATCCTTTTTTTTTAATCTACCAGCGACAACTTTCGTACTGAATACAAGTGTTCTGCGCGGACGCAGAAACGATGTGTAGCGTGGCAGGCTACTACATCTTGCGGAGCTACTGAGATTTAACAATTGTGACAACCAACCCATGTGACAACCAGCCCCGGTCTCCCCTAATGTTTCAGGCAAAGCCAGATAATCTGATGTCCCACGACAAAAGATTTAAAACCCAGGAACCAGCCATGCTAATCGTAGTTTTAACTCTAAAAAACGTCTTTCCAATATGATATTTCTGCATTGCAACTAATCTTAATACCGATGTGTATGAAGATCGATGACTAACGGATTTCAAGTTTGATGTTTAGCAAAATGATCAATCCAGGCCTTTGTACTGTCTAAAATTTTATAAATATGTACTGTAGATCTTATATACGGTTGTTGAAACACACAAAATTTTATTATAGCGTTACAAATCCTTATGTATATAAAAATGGACGATTAACTGTTAGTAATAGCGAGTGAATAATTTAAAAGATTTTCGAGGAAAGATGCATAGTGAAAGTAGGTATACATATTGAATTGTACATCTGTTTTTCTATAAATTTTTATTTACTGTTGTGTGTCTTGTCACATCTATCAAAAGTTTAAAATCAAACTGTTGTGAGTGTAGTTGTTAAGGTAGAGTACTTATCCTGAAATAATGTGTATATTTTCGTACAAATGCACAATATTATAGCACAGTTCATTTAAGTGCAACAAAATGTAGCGTGTTTGCCAAAAAGTAGATATCGTTCTTATCGTGCAATATACAGGGTGTTTCAGTTTATTGTTGCATAACTTTAAGATTCGATAGAACTTTTAAAATTAATGCATAAAGTCTATATAAACATGGGTCGAAAAATGCGTGGCTTCCGAAATATAGGGTGTTTTAATTTACTTTTTTTAAATATTTCGAACAGTATATGATGAATAATAGTAAAAATTGGTATACAAGGGTTTTTTGGTATGACAAATCGAACCATGGGCATAGTTTTACTGTAACCGCTAGAGGGCGCTCTCTACTGTACCTGTAGTGTATTAAAATGACCGAAAATTTTTTCTTAGTGCAACTGTTTGCTTTTTGAATAAAAAAGCTGATTCTTCGCACTTTTCTGCATAAAAAAGCTCTCCTGTGAGTTTTCGTTATAGTTAGCCGTTTTTGAGATATTTCGATTTTTAAGGTCGATGCATTTTTAATTATTTATGGGAAAATAATATTTTTTTTACATTTTCGATTTGGGCATTACAAGTAATTAAGATGATCGTTTAGATTGTGTTTTTAAACACAGCAATAATTCCTAACTCCAAATAAACACAAGAAAACAGAATATTAATTTGTTTAATTTTTCAATATTATTTTTAACAAATTAAATTAATTATTCACAACTAAAATGCTGTCGGATAGTTAGGACAAACATACAAAATCTAAAGTAGTTGTTCGAAATGTAAACCCAATTGTTCAATACACAATTCACATCTACGAATGATCGAACGTGGTTAGCATTATTCAAATAAGGCCTTATTTCATCACATGCATTCCTGATTCTGTCTATTAGCATATCTCTTGTGGTTACGGGAGTCTTTACGGGAGACTTTTTCTTTTAGAAATCCCCACACAAAGAAATTTAATGGATTT